ATATATATATATATATATATATATATATATATGATATTGTACAGTTTTTAGTGGCAAGCTAGCCACGGCAACTGGTCATGTTATGCTAATAAACCTACTGCAAACATTAAGCCTGGTTCACACTCGTCTTAATTCATCGTCGATCTATTGTATTCTTTTCCAACAGACAAAGCATTTTACACATGACCACAGACAATGGCAATCCCCGATTCTTGCGACCAGTGTGAACCAGGCATAAAAAACTTGCATAACATGACCTGTTGCTCTGGCAGCTTCACCACTGACAGTATTATAATTATACATACAAAAGCAAGAAGTTATTTATTAGATAATTACTGAGGCCAACGGCATTATTGGATATATTGCGGCCAGCTGAGGCTGAAGGCCTAAGATGGCTGCAATATATCCAATAATGCCAGTTGGCCGAAGTAATTATCTATTATAATTAGCCATGCCAAGAAAGTATAATTAGAATATTTAGCTGACCTTTGATATTGTGCAAGGTGTTTTGATATTCAAAATTCACTTTTCCTGCATTCTGAACAGGCATCCTAGGGGGGCTGTTTACGTGATGGAAAGTGGGATCATTTTGATGTATTTCAATCACAAGGTTAAATGAAAGTTCAAATGCTGGTTAATTTGAATTAACAGAACTCAAATGTTGTCAGTTGTAGACCATGACTTATTTCAATACATCGAAATCGTCCCGCCTCATATCTCGTCCTGACAAAGCGGGATCATATAAACAGCCCCTTATTCAGCAAATTTTGCATTCTTTCTTTGATCCCTGGGGGATGAGGCAGCACTTTCCTTGCGAGGCCTACTCTGGGGCGGTAAGTCGCCTTAAATCGCCGTGAGATAATGCGAAATTGGGCGATTTTAGGTGATTTAAGGGAAAACTGACTTTCAACCACTGCGATTTAATGCGATTTTAGGCGATTTAAGGCGATTTAAGAAAAAATCTTAAATTTTAGAGATTGCAATTTAGGTGTTTTCAAGGTAATTGAATTTTATATTTTGCTCCGGATTCCTCCCACAGGGCAAAATTGGGAGGGTGGGTTCTAAGGATATAAACACTGTGAAGAAAGTAATATCATATTCTCATTGTTGTAAATGGCTAGGCTAACATAAGTGATCATAATACTTGATGTAATCATAGTTAATATAATGAGAGGGTTTGGAAGGCCGGGTGACGTTACAAAATAACTTATTGTTCTCGGTCACGTGGTACTTATAGTGCATGCTTCGAGGTGTTGACATATACGATAGTATAATAGTTTCAGCCAAACAGAACCTAAAAACATTAAATTTCATTGATTTTTCCGCGATGCCGGGAGCGAATTGCTCCATATCGGCTGTGATACATGTGCAAATAGTGCTAGAGTTGGAATTTTTCCGATTCCTTCAGGAAGACTTATTATCAACGAAAACTCGTGAAGCGTGGAGCAACATAATTACAAAGGACCGCGTAGTGGATGGATAATTTGCGAAGGCAAATAAAAAAATGGGACGTTGTATGATTGGGAGAACCACTTCAAGAAAGAGGAATATGAAATGTACTTATTTAGACATTATTCTTAAGACTTTATAGTTTAATTATAAGACTTTACAGTGCAAGTCTCAGGCTTTTTACACTTTGTTTATATTATGCGGTCCCCAGAGCCCATCGTTGTGTGGTACGAGATTAGCTGATTTTGTGGTTAATTTTCTTCTGATAAATAGGAATGTATAGTACCAATTAGTTAACTTAAGAATGACATGAGTGTTCTTACTGTGTATGTATCTATCTACTTTCTGAAAATTCGTAACTTAGAAGTTCATTGTCATCTATCAAAAGGAGGTGGAGCAAAAATTGCTGCAATACTGTTTTTAATTCCACAGTCATAATTCTAGAAATGCAATGTAATTCTCTATGCAATTTGTATTATGCTCAAGTCATACACTACACAATGTATGTACATTTAAGCCACAATGCTCCTACATTATCCTTTTAACATTTGTCTGATGCCATATGATTTTATCTCTTTAAGCTGCAATGCTTAATCTGCACTGCCCTTGATGTGTAAAATTGTCTGATGATAGACACTGACAGAGTAAAAGAACATATTAAGATATGTTAGCCTATTATCTCCAATTAGCTTATTTAAACTGCATGACTAAATTTGGCCGATGAGAGAAAGTAGTTTAAGCTGTGTGTATATATTTATATATTGTTGTTATTACTATGTGTTGATGAAAAGATTACACATAAAAATATGAGGATAATCCATTGATACAGTATCATATTTACATTTAATATCATTGATAGAACGTTATTGTACTATGTACCTGATTATTTCGGTACATAGATGGATTTTCATATTTTCGTTTGGGAGGGGGGTGGTGGGGTGGTGGCAACGCCCGGAAAGGCCAAAGGAAAAGTTTAACAAAGTTTGTTTTCTAGGCCTGCATGGTGAGACCTCATCATCTGAGACCATAATTTGGTAATTTTACAAATTTAGTAAGAATAATCAAATATGAAATTATCAAATCAAAATATATATAATTTGCAGGAGTGCAAAAACTTGGGTGGGGGGCGGTGCCTCTGGGGGAGTGCAAATCATTTCAGGGGAGAGGGGCGCACTCCCAGAAAATCCGTGCCTGTCTTCAAGTCTTTTCATAAAGCTTTATTTTTCTGTGTACCCTGGCTTATCTTATATTTATTTATTTACAATATCCTTAGCAAAGGAAAACATCTTACAGTTACATATAATTTGACTGAACATTCTCTAAACATAAAGATTGACATTCCATTGAAGTTTCTACATCACAGTTTTGAGTAATGTTGCACCACAAGTTTGTCACAAGAGGAGAAGTTAGGACTTTATTCACATCCTCAGAAGGTAATGCTGATGCCTTTAATAGATTCTTCGCCTCAATTTTCATCCTCTTGACCCATATTCCGACTGTTCATCTCCTCCACCAGATCACAGTCAGAATATTCTTGGATCCATAACTGTTTCAACCAGTAATGTGAATTGTCTCATATCAAGCCTCCCCGCCGACAAAGCCTCAGGACCTGATGGAACATCTGTCAGGCTACGAAAGAGTGTGCTGACGAAATTTCTCCATCTTTAACTGCTCTCTTCAATATGTAATTATCACAAGGCAAAGTTCCTCAGGAATGGAAGGAAGCAAACGTTGTTCCAGTTTTTTAAGAAGGGCGATGTCCATGATGTCTCTAACTATCGACCCATCTCTTTGCTTTCCATTGTATCCAAGCTTCTCGAGCGAGTCATCCATATCCACGTGTCCAAGTTTGTTAAACCTTCGTTGAGTGATTTTAACATGGATTCCGAAAAAAAACGATCTTGCTACACTCAACTTCTCGGTGTTTTTCATGACATTGGCGAAGCTCTAGACAGCGGTAAAGAAGCTGATATGATTTACTTGGATTTTTCGAAAGCCTTCGATTCTGTTTCCCATCTAAAACTTCTACTTAAACTTCAACAGCACGGCATTTCGGGCTTGTTATTGAATTGGATTTCGGATTACTTGAGTAATAGACGTCAAACGAGGAGTGGTCAACGCAGTCGCATCTTCCTACCTTCGTGCCACCTCGGGGGTTCCACAAGGAAGTATACTTGGTCCACTCCTGTTCTTGATTTATGCAAATTATCTTACCGAAGCAGCTAATCACAGCGTTGTTCCCATGTTTGCTGATGACAGTAAATGCTACAAAAAGATTGAGAAACCACAGGACATAAACCTCCTACAAACTGATCTCGATTCCCTACACCAATGGTCACTAACCTGGGATCTCAGTTTTAATGCTTCGAAGTGTGCTGCAATGCGATTTTCTCGCAAGACAAGTTCCGAACAACCTCAAGAATACCACCTCAATCATCAACTTATACCATTTAAAATAACTCTGAAAGACTTGGTAATCCTAGTGAGCGAAAGTTTAAAATGGTCTTCGCATATAAATAACTTGATATCGAAAGCTAGCAAGATGCTCGGGTTTGTTCGGCGAAATCGTTTCTACCTCGCGAACGTTAACTGCAGACGTCTTCTGTTTTTGACTCTTGTTAGATCGCAGTTCTCTCATGGCTCTGAAGTCTGGGCGCCCCAGGGTCCATCCTCTGTTCTGCTTCGTCTTGAGAGTGTTCAACGTCGCGCCACGAAAGTTATTCTGCAAGACTACGAGTCGTCTTACTCGGATCGCTTAAAGAAATTGAACTTGATTCCTATCTCATATTGGCTGGAAATAAAGGACATTGTGTTCTATTATAAATGCAAAGCGGGGCTGTATCATCTTGACATTGATAAGTACATCGAAAGACCTTGTCATCGGTCGACCCGTTCCAGTACTGGTGACTTTCTGCGTCCAAATCTATGTAGAACAACTCTTTTCAGGAACTCGTACTTCAATAGAATTGTGTATCTATGGAACAGCTTGCCTAGTGATATTAAATCTTCTTCTTCCGTATACGTCCTTAAAGCTAAACAATATGAATATTACTTTAATTAATAAACTGATTACAGTATTTGATGCAGATAGGTGTCGAACTTGGAAAACACTATGCAGTAATTGTAGATCACCGCAAATAAACTGCTGCTCGTAATGCTGATCGATGGGTTAATCTGTTATATGCTTAATATGCTCAGTTTTCGTTACAACTCTTGATACATTTTTTTTTCATATAAATTAGTCACAAACTGAGTTTTAATAGATTAACCATTCGAGCATTCTTCAATCGAGATTAATTTTTACTGTTGTAAATAGTTTTTTTATGTACGTCTGTATTTCTGTTGTCTTGGTGGGACTTAATTGGGAACTTCTGTTCCGTTGTCCTGACCTTCGATCTTATTGATTGTCAAGTTATTAAAAAAAAATTGTGTCTACTGGTAGATAGTGGTGTCTACTGGTAGACAGTGACCCTGTCCAAGGGCGGATTTTCATTTTTTTTAAAGGAGGGGTAGAAACATTTCTGGTGGGGGTGCAAGCGGTACCACTGAGCGAGCTTTGACAGGGTTTAGGCGTTAAGGTTAAAGACTTTCACACTAAATAGAAGGGGTGAAGGAAAATTTTGGTGGGGTTGAACACTTTATAAGAGGGGTTAGAGAGATTCTAGGAGGGGTTTAACCCCCCCC